AAACCCTGCGGAGCGGCGGCTGCCCGGGAGCGGCGCGGAGGAAACGACGTGGAGGAAACGACGCGGCTGCTCCGCGCTGGAGCGCTCTGTCTTGCAGGAGTACAAAAACAGCAGGAAGTCCCGGCGCGGAGAGGAAGGTGGGGGCGGCCCGGAGGCCGCGCATCAGCCGGATCATCATTAAAAAACATGATTAAAAGTGACAGCAGTCCCGTGTGCTGGGGTGCAGCCAGGCGGGGGTCCCCACGCCGCGCTGCTCGCGGGGATGCGCTCCCTGTCGTGGATGCTCCGGGGGCCGTACGCGCGTTCGCCCTCTCGTCCTCGGGATCCCCGCCCCGGGGCTGTTCCCGTGAACGGAGCAGCCCCAGGATGGTCCCTACGCGCTCCCCGGAGCTGCCCGGTGCCTTTGTGGGCTCAGCTGCGTCTCTCGCGCTGCTCGTAGATGGAGTGAAGCTTCTGAATGAGGAAGATCTTGTCTTCTCCTTCCTGCAATGGCAGAGCCCCCGTGAGCGCGAGGGACTGTGGCAGTGCTGCCAGGCGGGCACCAAGCCGGACTGGGCAGTGCCGGGGCTCCGGAGTGGCAGGGAGCGGCAGGGAGCAGGGGACGTGGAGCCATGTGGAGTGGCAGGGAGCAGGGGACATGGAGCTACTCGGAGCGATGGGAAGCAGGGGATGCAGAGCTGCATGGAGCAGCAAGGAGCAGGGGATGCAGAGTTGCATGTAGAATGGCAGGGAGCCGGGGATACGGAGTGACAGGGAGCAGGGGACACGGAGCCGTGCGGAGCAGCAGGGAGCCGGGAACACGGAGCTGCACGGAGCAGCGGGGAGCAGAGCCACGCGCAGAGCTCGCTCACGTTGGCGATCTGCTCCCGAAGCAGGCGGATGACCCTCCGCTGGCCCTTCACCACCTGGATGTTGAAGTAGATCACACCCCTGCAGGGACAGCTCGAGTGGGCCGGCAGCCCTGGGTGCTGCAGCCCCTGAGACCCCCCGGCTCCAGCCCCGCCGGCACTGGGTGGTCCCGGGTGAGCCGGGCTCCATCCTGACTCACAGCAGGACGCCAGACGCGAAGAGGAGGAAGGCGGCTCTTTCCAGCAGGTGCTGGAGGATCCAGGTGATCCAGGACAGGCTGGGGTTCGATCCCTCCAGCAAGCGCAGCCAGCTCTTCACCGACTCG